CTAACTGAATATGTGCCATAGAATATGCAACTTTTCCATCTTCTTTGCTTTAGAGACAACAGAAACAAGTGAGGTGTATCCTCATAAACTGGCAGAGCCATTGTTGATATAAAAACTATTTATTACAGCCTGCATGTCTGTGATAATGATATACAAACAAAACCTTTCTGCAACATGTGTGTTAGCCTCATACTCCCAGTTAATCGTGTCATTAATCATAATGACATGTCTTGGATACCTCTGAAGTTGACATTCATTTGAAACGGGGGTCAAGAAAGTATAAAATGCAAGTAAACAAAGCTAAAAATTGCATGGCTAAGAAATGTAAATGTCAACATGGAAACAGATGTGGTATGAAGATTATGTACAAACATTGAGATGTCAGTTTAAATTATCTGAATTACAGCTTTGGTTTCCTTTAGTCAATCTAACATGCAGTAAAATAGCATCTTCCTCTTTTTGATGTTTAATGGATGCAATAAGCGATGCTGCATGTGGTCTTTGCTCTTGAAAGAAAGTCTTGAAGTGAGGATATGAATCAGATACAGTCTTCTAAGCTAACTGCGTGGTAGACTTGAGGCTAATGGCTTCCATGCTATCCATTCCAGTGCTGCCCTCTGCCTTTTGAACAAATAATCCTGGAGAACTGTTATCTTTCAGGTTCAGTTTGTAGGCGCATGCTTCACCTTCTACTTCAATTACTGTTTTCATTTCCATGAGGAAGGAGAAAACAGGGAGTAGGATATCATTCCAGGTTTTGTAATAAGAATTGCAATGTTTCTGTATACGTTCAAAACTTGATCTTGCAGCTATTATAAGCTTAGAGAGGACAGCTGAGTGTTGTTGTGTTTAATTTTATCAGATATGAGAGATGAGAAACCAGCTTGCATAGATTTTCATGTCTGAGCACGTATATCTACCACACAGACTGCATATAAAGAATGGGAATAGTTTCCAGGTCTAAGAGGTAAAGTAAATGCAGAAGGGCCACAAACCTGCAAATCTTTCAAATGACCAACAGGAGGCATCTTGTTGGAAAAAGATGTCCGACATATATAAATCTATGAGAAAATAACTCTACAAGTCACTTTGTTTGGGATTTAGGACCCAGTGTTTTGATTTTCTTTAACTTTTAGTGTTTCCTGGTTTCTTTATTTCAGTTTGTTTTATTGGGTGAGTCCCTTATGTTAGGGAGAATGTAATTCCTCAGTGTTTAGCCTTTGGTTCTTGTTATTCTTAGTTTTCTTTACGTCAGTGTTTCTAGTTTAGACCACCTTAGTTTTACCTATCTGGTTTCTGCTCTCAGTTAAGTTTGTTTTTATTCTATCCCTTGTTTCAATTATCATGCTTGTCCAGTGTTGCCATGCGTTGTCTAGTTTTTATCTGTCCGTGATGCCATGTTTAGTAAATTCCTTTTTTATTTTGCTTCCTTTGTCGTGTCTCCCTTGATTGTTGTCAGCTGTGTCCTTACCTGTTGCCCATCCTCTTGTCATCTTATGAGTATTTATTGTCTGTGTCACCCTTTGGTCATTGTCACGTCCTATCGTCATGCCTGTGTGCTCACTAGTGTTTTACAGTGGCTTGTCTTTGAACATGTTAAACAGCCAGCAATATTCATTCATTCATTCCACTTCACAATCCTAAGTTCTGCATTTGGGTCTGCAACCTGCCTGTTATACAGCACTACGTGGTACACTTGATATCTGACTGCAGTAAACACTTTTAATGAGGTGAGTTTACGGGCTCAGTATAACCAAATACATCACAAAGTTTATTTTGTAAAGCATGGTACTCATTATAGTTTAAAAAGGACTATAAAGAAGTGTACGCTTTAGGGACACCATATTTTGTGATTGACAATCTGCTATTTTATGAGCATGTACAGTCCCTCGGTTCATTAGTCAGACCCACTCACTCATTTCAAAATTTCACTAATCACTAGGTAATGTCATGCGGTTGTGTCCATCTTTTGTATACAGTCTACAATAATAATAATAATAATAATAATAATGGATTGGATTGATGCGAAGCTCGTTTCTCTCTGCAGTTTTAGGTTTAATTTTAGGTCCCACCGTCCAAAGACATGCAGCTTGTGGGGGTAGGTTAATTGGATAATCCAAATTGTCACTAGGTGTGAATGTGCGAATGAATGTGAGTGCAAATGGTTGTTTGTCCCTGTGACAGACTGGCGACCTGTTCAAGGTGTAACCTGCCTTTCGCCCTATGACGGCTGGGATAGGCTCCAGCGCCCCCCGCGACCCTGAAAAGGATAAGCGGAAGCGAATGGATGGATTGGATTTATATAGCGCTTTTCAAGGCACCCAAAGCGCTTTACAATGCCACTATTCATTCACTCTCGCATTCATACACTGGTGGAGGCAAGCTACGGTTGTAGCCACAGCTGCCCTGGGGCAGACTGACAGAAGCGAGGCTGCCATTTCGCGCCATCGGCCCCTCTGGCCAGCACCAGTAGGCAAGTAGGGTAAAGTGTCTTGCCCAAGGACACAACGACCAGGACAGAGAGCCCAGGGATCGAACCGGCAACCTGCCGGTTACAGATACGCTTCCCAACCCCCTGAGCCACAATCTTCTCATGTCCTTTGCAAGACATGGCCCCAGCATATTTTAAAATAAAAAAGTGAATGAGAAGCGCTCTATGGTTGGCACTTGATCAATTATTCTTCAAACTATGGTTCAGAACATTTTGTTTCAGTAGCACCATTTCCTCTAGGTGCCACTTATTTTGCTGCCTGTAAGCCTGTCAGTAAGTTGCCAAACACAGTCACTTACTCATACACTGACTAATAACACTTGGTGGAAAGTGTGTGAATCTGCAGTGCTGAGCAGAGGTTTGCTGATTTCTCCACTCCTGCAAAGAGGTCTGTTTCCAAAATTGCTGTGTAGATTCACCATAAATGAAAAATCTGATTTTTAAATGACTTTGTTATGTATATGTATTTTATTTTGGCTATTTTACACTGGCCTCGATGATTGCTTAAATACTTATGTTTCAGTGGACATTCCGTGATTTATTTTTGGCTACATTAATGCATGGATGAAAAGTTCTGGCACATAACACAGAGATATATAGTGTCAGAAACCCAAAATCATGACATAAAGCAGGTGTGTAAAAATAAGATCAAAGTTTACTTGAACCAATATCAAAATATTACCTTCAAAGAAGGCAAAGATTCAGGCAGGGTTCAAAAGCAGGCAGAGAAAAAACAGACTAATACAGGAAGACAACCGAGGGGGGTGGAAATCAGCCGTGAACGTGTGCCGTAATGACTAAGGGGACCAGTTGGTGAAGTGGATGCAGGTGAGCAAAGAAGCTGAAAGGAAAGCAGGGCAGGTGGGAATGGTGGGTTTGGAACAACAGGAGAGAAGTGAATGGGAACATAAAAAAACAAACTGCATGAAGACCAATATACACCCAAAAATCTATAATTTTTTCTGCTAATTGTACCTTCTTCAAGAATAGATAAAGAAGACCATAAAGCAAGACAAGACACAAATGATGGGAGAGAAGGCAAAATTGAATATAGTAGTTGTATATAAACACCTGGTAAGTAAAGAGAGGTTAGTGGAGAAGTCCAGTGCATCATGGGAAGTCCCCCAGCAACCTGAGCCTATTGCAGAGGATCACCTGATCTAGCTCACACTATAAGCTTTATCTGGAAGTAAAGTTTAAAGTCAAATCCTCAATGGAGACAGGTCGTCTGTCTGGAAGCTGGTTCCACAGGGGTCTGACAGCTGAAATCTCTCCCTCCCATTATACTTACTACTGGGAACCAGCAGTCTGAGAGTGAGGTGCACTGTTTGGATAATATGGTACTATGAGGTCTCTGACATATGATGAGGCCTGATTATTCAAGACCTTGTATGTGAGGAGAAGAATTGGAAAGTAAATTCTGGGTCTAGCAGGTAGCCAGTGAAGAGAAGATAATATGTTAGAAACATGATCTCTCTTTCTTGTCCCAGGCAGTACTTTCACTGCCGTGTTTTAGTTCAACTTAAGGCTTTATGGGGAATTTTTAGAACCGTCACATAATAAAGAATCAAAATAGTCCAATCTACAAGTAATAAATGCACGAACTAGTTTTTATCACCACTCTGAGACAGGATGTTTATAATTTTATCAACTTTGGGAATCAATCAGTCATTCAAATACCTCATTTATATTTAGGTGATCTCCCACGCAAGGTCATCTTCTCAGATATGTAGACAGCATCTGGTTTCACCACAGCCCTCAAACTTGCAGAGAGAGCAAGAACATCAACTTCTGTTTCAAATAGACCTGAATTTTGTGTTAAAGTTCATTTCTTCGTATGCAAACAGACACTTTTCAAGCCTGAGGAAAGAAACCAGTTTGTTCACAATTTCTTTTTTGTCAACACTCGTCAAATTGCACAGTCACAGTCACCACACTGAACACAGTGGAGAAATGGAGTTTTTTTCCCCCGAAGTATAAAAAGTTCTAAATTGAAACTTACATTCAACAAACTATTTTTTTATGTTTATGGATTAGTGCCACCATGCTTTAAAAAAGCATCACTGTTTCATACCTACCTCCAACAATCCAACTGTTATATTTCATACACATTCTCCAGAATTTAAGGATGACTAGTTGAGGGTAAACACTTATTGCACAACTTTTTCACTATAATGAGCACCAAGCCCATATGATGACTCAGATTTAAAGTCATTAAAAACTATAAACTGTTAATGATTCAGAAGCCAGTTTTCCTGAATGTTGACAGTATGAAACATCCTGTCTTGTGCAACAAGGCTAAAGATCCACATTTTCACCTGAAGGACTGGGAAACACACTCTGCAGAAGTGTCACCTTTCATCGTTCTCACTTGCGATGGTATCAGGTGTACTTTGAACAGGCTTGTGTCTGGCTAAAACTACCCTTGCGCAGGATGGGTGGGGTAATGTGGTGTGTGTTTAAACAGACAAGGTAAGGTCCCCCGTCACAATACGTGCTCAGGCAAAGATCGGGCTTGAATGGAATCCTTTACCTGTAGCTCTGGGGAAACTGTACACTGAAAATCTACAACGAGACTTCAGTGCCCGTCAAAACCACAATGGAGACAACTAATGATACCACAAAAATCCTGGGGAAAGGTCCTGAATACCTTCGTAAACAAATGGATTTAGAGAGTGAGACAAAAGGACGCATGAGTGCCGTGGAGAGGCTCGCCGCAAGTAAACCAAAATACGTCAAAAGCCAACAGGTGGTTAACTCAACTCAGGAGCCAGTGATTAGCCTTGGATCGGCCTCTGTGAGTAGCACTGGGTCCTCTAACCGAAGCTCACACCGGGATGGGAATCTTCCTACAGGGAGTCACTTGACAGGGAATACACTCACTGTGCAAATCTCTTCACCAGTGCAGGCACATCGCTCCAGCGCCAAAAAACGACCAGACTCTCTTCTAATTTACAGACAGAAATGTGAGTTATTGAGAGGGCCAGCAAATGAACGGAAACACCATATAACCCGTAAGTTGTTGCTCAACCCTGTGAATAAAAATGCCCCATTATCCGAGGGGACAGATAAGGAATGTGAGTCTCAGGGCAACGGGGGAAAAATCACCACGCCTAAGGAAACAGCAAAGGAATGGAATCCACATGTAGTTATCTCTAAACCGGAGAGCAATGGAGTGACAGAAGAGTGCAGAATCAAGAACAGTGACTCTGGTACAAAACCTAAGGCTGGAGTTGTAAATGCATCTAGTGGTCTCCTGACAGTTCCTGAGGTTGAAAGGAGGTCTGGCAAAGGAGTCAGTCGTTCTCACTCTGATATCAGCTCCAGGTATTCCAAAAACTTTGCAGACTTTGATGTTTTTTTCAAGTACTGCGGGCTGGACGGTGAGGTCATTGAGTCTTTGGGGAAGGACAACTTCTCGGCTCGCTCAGATGAAATTGCAATAATGGTTCGGAGTGTCAGTGTTTCCACGTCAGATGATGGCTTTTCCAGGAACAGTAGTGACAGCGATGCGCTCATGGAGGAAAAGCTGCACGAGAAGATACGTCAAGAGACCTCAGTTATTGAGCGCAACGCACGGATTATCAAGTGGCTGTACAGCTGTAAAAATGCTAGTGACACTGGAAAAAAGTTACGAGATCTTCACTGATTGCGCTTTTTCTTTTTACCAAGTGATGTTACATAAAAGTTATATTTTGAGGACAAAGATGGAAGTAGTTTCTTGTTTTTGGCCTTAGAAAACACTGAATGATACCCTACTTTTCCAACTGTACCTAAATCTTAGGATATGTATTGTGTATGCTGCATGTGTGTGTGTGTGTGTGTGTGTGTGTGTGTGTGTGTGTGTGTGTGTGTGTGTGTGTGTGTGTGTGTGTGTGTGTCCTTTACTGATGACTTTTCTGAGAGCAAATGATGACTGGGTGATTTCTTATTTTTTTCTAATTTTTTTTTTACTTGCACAGGACCATCTATGATCTCAGTTACACTGGAAACAGATAAAATACAATGTCATAAAAGCGATACAAAAACAAAAAGTATTTACATTATTCAGCTTCAACATTTTTAGGATTACTGGCTTATTTAATATAATACTTTTGCGTTCTATTCAGACTCTATAAAAAAACATTTCTGTATTAAATATGGTCAAACATGCATACAAGAAGGCAAGCAGTAATTCAAAAGAATTCAGTGAAGTGCTGTGATATGAAGCAAAAACATACTAGTATGAACTAGTTTGGGATTATCTTCTTTTTTCATAAAAATAAAATACTTTTAAGTTCAGTGATTTTGGTTGTGAGCCTTTTTAAAGTAAATGGCCCACAGTCATATAGACTTACATTGTTTATAAAAGCTATACTGTATTTTTATGCGACTATAATTTAAAGCTTTTGAAAATGTACAAAATTTGTCAACATGACATACTTCCTGCTAATGATAACTCAACGTCTAACAATGCTGCAGCAATTCTAGCTGTAGCTTTTTGATGAGTTGTCATCAATGTTACATAATTCATCTACAAAACATTTGTGTGTTTATTTATTATTCATTAACATGCAATTATTTTATACGATCACTTATAAAATGTACTATTTGTAAAGAGTGGTACTATTATTTTAAGATAAAAGGCTCACAGCTCATGGCCTTTTGATTCTTCCCAGGAACATTAAAAGGAGTCTCACACTGATGCTCATAAATTCTGCTCCTCTGCGAATACCTTTAGGCCACCTCAAACATGAAAGCATCCCTAAATCAGAATTTGTACAACCTGCCTTTTAAGTTTATAATCCAATAATGTGCACTCCCATTTCTCTCGGGGTGAAAGGTATACATTCCATCACACCAACACACATGAAGACACACACACCCACACACAACCTGGAGACTTACTCTGAGTTTACCCATAACTACTGCCTGCCAAACTCTGACCATAACTTATCCTAATGTTAAAAGATAGCTTTAATATATAAATTTGAATGATTTAGATCATGAGGATTTGTTCCCTTGTCCACATACAAAAAAAAATTTGCATGTATGTGTGTAAATAAATTTAGGTCACCACAACAAGTGTAATATCTGCCACCCCACAGACACTCAAATGCAAACCACAGCAACTGATACAAAAAAATTTACGTATGGAAGATCTGCTTATATTTAACAGATGTATGAAAAAACATTTGAGGAAGTGGTTATTTTCCTCGCAAACTTTCCCTTAGATCTGTTAGGGGAATGTGCTTAATAATCTGATCGGCTTATGTCCAGTGACCCGTTGTTGTTGTATCTCTCTCCCAAGCTCCGTCTGCTTTGTCTCTTCATTGCTTTCTCTCTCTTTTTGTCTTTTAGCCAAGTTTTTTTTTATTCTTTGAAGCTCAGTGGCTGAACATGAGCTGGGGGAAAGGAATGGAAAGACTGTGCTTGACGCAGTATGTTAAACGTATTGCCACCTATTCAGTTTCACTCATTGTCTTCTTACAGAGAAAGAAACAAACAATATACGTTATAAGTTCATGTGAGTGGGCACAAAGTAGTTAGCTGGTGCAGACACACCTTTCACTTCTCCAAATGCCTGACTGACTGTTTAGTACAAGCCTCCACTTGTTGGTTGCCAAAAGTAGAGGTTACCTGTTGATAATGATAGTCATCAATATGTGATTATTGATTGTGAATGTGAACTCACTATTGCTACAAGTTTGCATTTAATTTTGTTTTTTATATGTAAAACTTAAAATTTTTGTACTCCTAGATAATTTGTATATCTTTACCACCTTTTGCCCAGTTTTACTGCTACTGAAAACATAAAACACAAATAAAACTGTTTTTACAAGTAAAATGTTGCATGAGTATACTCACAGTGGGTGGAATGGAAATGTTTGCTAAAGTTTAAAAGTTTTAACCCAGGGTGAATATATTGTCTTTGAATTACTCCCCTGCGACCATGATAAGCGGAAGGGAATGGATGGACGGATGGATTGATGTTAAACTACTTACTCTTTTATTAGTTGTTCTGTTGGTTATGAGAATTATCAATTACCTATACACTGCCACTTCATCAGTTACACATTGCTAACACTGGGTTACCTTCAGGGCTGCCTTAATTCTTCTTGGTGATGTGATATCATTATTATTATCATATCATTACATTACATTGCTGCTGATTTTTCAGCTGAAGATCAATTATGAGAATCTCCTCCTCCACCACATGCCAAAGGTACTCTAGGTGTCTATTAACTGTTTCTTATATTCTGTTTTTCCACTGTACTTGAGCCCTCCAACTGCTTTATATACAAACACACATTCATCAGTGGCATGCCGTGACTTTTACAGAAAGGCAAGCAGAGACAATCGTCACCCCTCACACCCACTACACACACAAACAAACACACCTTCTTCAAAAACACCAATTTAACAAGATAAACTGGATCAGATTAAAACATGCCATTTGTGCTGTCCATCTGCACATCTTCACGTTTCTACACTCCTTCCTGGCTGAAGAGATGTAAAATATTTCTAATAACTTAGTTAAATAAATATCTACCATATTCCCCCCACTTTTTTGTATTGTTAACTGACAATGACAAGTGGTGGAGGAACTTTTCAAACCAAAAAGCAATAAAAAACCTTACTTTACATAAAACTGTATTATTGAAAAATTGTGTATAAAGTATCAAAACTAAAACTATTCTGCAGAAAAATGTCACTAATCAGTGTTAAATATTATTTTTTATCACTGCTCCATATGTTTAAGGTTGATCACATTTTAAACACTGTATTTCTGTTTAATTTTCAGCATCAAATTCTATAAATCACACATTTGTCGTGGCTGTCCTGTGAGGACCGCATATCTATGAAAAAAAAATCATTTGTTCGTTGCCCATCTTTTCTACATCACAAATGTTCTCCAAGGTGGCCAGTAAGACAACTAGTTGTGTTTCCATACGAAGCATATTACTGATCTCAGAGCAATGAAAGCTCCCCTCAGCTTACCATGAAAGACCAGTGGTTTATCCAAAAAGGACATGCACAAATCACCTGAAACAAACTGCTGGCCTCCTAGCTCCAGTTATTGTTAATAGGAGACAGACACGCCTTCAGAGATGGAAACAGCTACATTTTTCTGTGAGATAAAATAAGCACAGCTTTCAGTGACAATAGCCAACTGCAGTCACAAAATAGCAGTAATGTAAAGGACAGATTAACTGACAGGAGGAGCTTTATGATGAGGGATCACTTCACTTTGCTATGTTATAATTCACGTTTATTTTTAGATTTGACAAGGCACGCTACTTGCTTTGCTTGTCCTGATGGAACATCACTGACACTACCAGTCTAAAGTTTGGACACACCTTCTCATTCAATGTTTTGTTTTTATTTTTGCTACTTTCTACATTGTAGATACATAAACAATGTGGGCTTTAAAGATAATTAAGAAACTTTCTGAAGGAAACCTGGGCTTGTTAAGAGAGACGCCATCCATTCCACTTTGGATGGAGAAGCTCTCATTTCTAAGAATCTGGCCAAATATATTAAGCCCCCCAAAACGTGACGATCCAGAGTTGGGACCAGGAAACAGAGTTGCAGTCTTACACGCCTCTCTGCAGCTTCTCTCCTCCCATTATCCCCCCAAAACCCCATCCCCTCAAGGTCTGTGTCAGCTCCCAAGCAGACAAAAAAACAAACAAACTAAAAACCGGCAAAAAACAACTGAAACATAAAAAAACACAAAGAAAGAACAATACAGTATCATCAACAGCACCAAAGACTAAAACAGTGAAATGTGGATTGTTGAACATTAGGTCTCTGTTACTTCATGAGTTAATAATTATTCAACAAATCGATTTATTTTGCCTTACAGAAATACAAAAATGACAGCCTCAACACAGCATTTAATCTGTTGTTAGACTCAATTGGCTCAGATCAGAGCTCAGATAAATGCCATACAGAGTTCCAGTAGCACACACATCCCTACATCAGCTGTTCAAAGGAGACTGTGCAAATCAGGCCTTTATGGTCAAATAGGTGCTAAGAAACCTCTACTAAGGGAAAGCAACAATCAGAAGAGATTTGTTTGGGCAAACAAATGTGTGGGGTTCAACACATTGGGTCTAACCCACAACCCTGAGATTAATAATCTCATAGTCTTGAGCTAATCAAGCTCCACAGTAAGCCTTCAGTTCATGTCATACCAACATTTAAGACAAGTTCTTCCTCTGACCTCTAATATAAATAAAGTATTTACACCCAGGAAACTCTCACTAGATAGTTTTTCTTTTCAAACCAATCTTTGTAAACCCTAGAGATATTTCTGTGAGAAAATTCCAGTAGATCAGCAGTTTCTGAAATACTCAGACCAGTTTTTCCAATGTGACTGATTAACAGGTAAATGTAATAAAGAGGATGTATATAAGTAGCAACAATGCCAGCAGATATGAGTGGGTATATATAGATTCTGGATAATGTTTGAGCTTATTGTATCCAGCTTATGGGACGCAGTATCCAACAACAAGACCAAATTGTCAGTACCTGTTTTACTAGTAATATAAAATTCTTAGTCAGTACTCTCATGTCACTCATTGTTATTGCTTTATCATAAATTAAATAAAATGATAATTGATTTCATTTTAAGACATATTTAATTATTCCAATATTTAATTAATTAATTATTTCATAGTTCCTGTGCTGCTGTCTATGAATTTATTTTCCATGTAAATCTCACTGATCAAAATCAAGAACTATGTCTAACACTGATTTAATCAAAATCATTGCTTTGGTCTGAAGTCAGTTCTTTCAGTGAACACTGCTCAATACAAGTACACAGAGTTTGAACTTGCATGCTTCTAGTTCCTACTTTGCAAGTACACTCAGAAGTCAGGACTTCTGAGCATGGAACATCCAGCTCACAGTGAGACAGTAGAATATTTGATGACATCAGCTCACTTTCACATTGTACTTTACTGCCTTTTAACCCTTATGGTTAATATTCACAATGAATATTGTGAATATTCATTGATTTTTTTCAAGGAGAGGGTAGAGCTGGGTGAATGGGTGGGTGCTTTCACTCCTGCCACTAGCACTGCTACATGATTTTACATTGACGTGATGGCCAAATAGGTCCTGCAACATTGGGTACGAAGGGGTTGTTCAGTTGGTTGCATTCTCCAACCTTTACCACTAGATGATACTAAATTACACACACAAAATACATAAATGAATACCTATTAAATTCATATTTTAACCACAAAGAACTCCCACTGCAAACCATATAGGACATTAGACTGTATTTTTAAGCTCAAACAGGTGACGTGACAATAACAATAAAATTTTTGAGAGCCGGTGTACAATGAGTCAGGGCTGCTGAATACGTACAAAACTTTGAAAGAAACATGTTCAAACGGGGTGTCGTTTTTGGACATCCGAAATAGCTGCATTTTTTAAATTTGCATATACAGGCACAGTATTCAATTGACCTTGCTCTGAACGACTTGCGACTTAAACTGAAGAGAATAACGTCATTTGAAACAATCAAAAGTAAACTTATCTTTTCACATCCAGTTTGCAGCTTTACGCCATGCACATCAAAGCAGGAAGGTCCCAGAGTAATAAAACTGTGACCTAGATAACGTGTCATAAAATATACGGCTTAAACTTAAACCATACAACTGATGTGAAAAAACAGTGGGTGGGGTGAGAAAATAGTTATTTATTCAAGTTAAGTCTTTAAAGCGTTTCACAACATTTTTCAGCATCAGTCAGTCACTCAAAGCTCCAGCAGACCAGTTACCATCCCCCATCTCAAAATCAAAACACAAGTACATGTGTGCAGTCCGCTGTCACGTGTCGAAGAAAGCCCCCAACAAAACAAATGGGATTAAAAAAAAGCTGTTGAGTGACAGGAGTGATTATCCAATCGGCCTCCCGAATCTGGGTAGCAACAAGATAAATACAGACCTTTTGACCAATCAGAGAGCAGTAGGGGGCGTGAATTGACGAATTCTCGCGCTTACTTCCGTCAATATTTCCAGCTCCGCAGGAGGGGAAGGCTAGAGACGGAAGCAGAGACACAACAGAAGAGCTGCTTATCTTTAACGGTTTGTTTGGCCGTTTTTCAGAAATTCACAGTCTTATAGCAGCGTAGCGGAGATTCATTATTTTCTTCTTGTCGTCATTATTTGTTTTGGGTCGACTGACAGCTTCGTGTTTGATAGCTAAAACGACTTTAACAGCGCCCGCTAACGCTGTCATTGTCCAAATTCTGAAGGTAGAAAAATATATAATTGCGTCACGGATATTGCAAGGTATGTTATTTAAGTATATTAAAACGCTGTGGCTTAGTCTGGCCCTTTACATACGAGTGTTAAATCTGTAAACGCGCTGTAACAGGGTAATTGAGAATGGCTGATGGCCCTCTGCTTTATGTGATATGCAGTTGAAAGGTAGCTGCAGGCTACAGTGTCTCTATGAACACTAAGAGAAACCATAATAATACTTTTTATTTTCACCTTTTTTAACCAATGCTGGCATAAAATATAAGAATCTATGTGTGGTGGGATTTGTTTAAAAACAGTCAGTTTCAATTTGTAAGCTTTAAAAAAAATCATCTCAGTGTTTTTGAACTGCCATTAAATTGGTGATATTTATAACTTGTTCACCTTTTCATTTAAAAGTTGTTGTTTTTTTCAGTAGAACCTAATGTGAACATAATGTGAATATAACCGGTTAAATGCTTAAAACTGTTTGTGAAATTTTATTGTAGCATGCTGTATTTAACAAGGACAAATTAGATTTCAAAATTTCTCTCTTCTTTGCATG